GTGATGATGTTCTTGCTTCTTACCCGGATGTTCTTGATGATCAAGAAAAAGGAGTTTAAGTTGATTCTTACGATGAAAAAGTTTTTTTCTCGATCGGAGTTCAAACGACGATATTTTGTGTTCTTGTGATTCGTTTGAAGGAATGATTCCTTATCGAAAGCCGATGATCCAAGAAATTCACAAGTATCAAACTCCAAAAGATTTGATTCAAACTCATAAAATTAAAGGTGCTTTGTTCATGAAATCAAGTTTTCAAGATGAAAAAAGATGAGAAAGAAAAAGAAGAAGAAGATTAAAAAGGAAGAACAAGCGGGTTTATTCACAAAAATCATCAAATGTTGTTGTGAATCCGAAATCCGTGAAGCAAATTTGGGTTCCAAAGCAACAATCTCCAAAGGTTGCATTGAATTTGAAGTCAAAACCCAAAAATGTTGGTGGTTCTTTTGAAGATGTTCTTGGATCGTTAAAGAACACGAGAACGAGTTGTACATTTGCTCATAATGGATGGTACAATGTTCAAATTGGAGATTTTCTCGTTCCAACAAAAGAACCAAGATCTTCTAGATTTGATTTGTTCATTGCAAACAAAACTCGATTTGTCAAAAAGGTATCTCAAATTCTCAAATGGATTCCAATACGTTCATAAATTCAATCCATGCATTTACATTTTTTAATTATGATCATTTCGTTTCGTTGGATCTATTTTGTTCCAAACTAGGTTACCAGAGGAATATCCATCAAATTTTAGAACTATATGTTTCATAGGTACTAAAGGAAATTTTACATACCAAAAGCTATTGTATGATAAGCTTTATACGTAAAATCAAACAAATTAGCATTGTCTACTGCTAAAACAAGTATATTACTTGAATTATGAGTAGAGCGTGCTTATGTTACTGATGGTGTTGATGATCAAGTAATTTATTGGAATAAAGTTGAATTAGGCGATGTGAGCCTGAAAATAATGTTGTGTAAGAAGAATCAGTCTTTGATGTGTGTGTGTGTGTGATGGGAAACATCAAAGAGTCCTCGACGATCATATCATACTATATTATAAAGGAAGCAATTTTCCTTTCACCACATTCATTTGAAACTCTCATGCATTTTTTCTTTCATCATATTCATTTGAAACTCCCATGACTTTTCATTTTCTTTCTAATAATAATTATTATTATAAGTTGGTTAATAAGGTTAAATAAATATCAAAACTAACGTGTAATTATATATAAACTAAACTTCAATATTAAAATAATATATTTACTTCTACTTATATAGTTATGTTTTTTTTAACTTTTAACATATTATGCTTAATTTATTAGTTTTAAAATATTGTTGGATGTAAACCATTATCATTTTAAAGATATAATTCTAGAACAATTTGTATAAAATACTTAAATTATTAATTTAAATATAACATTACATGGTCAACTTAAATATAAATTTTAGTTTAGCTTAAACAACCCAAAAAATATTTTGTAAATAGTTAAATGTGATAAATTGTCATATCTTTCTAATAATAATAATTATAAGTTGGTTAATAAGGTTAAATAAATATCAAACCTAAAGTGTAATCTCATCTCATCTCATACCATACTATAACGGAAATATTTTTTCTTTCGCTACATTCATTCGAAACTCTCATGCATTCTTCCTTTCACCACATTCATTTGAAACGTCCATGAATTTTCAATTTCTTTCTCATAATAATAATTATAAGTTGGTTAATAAGGTTAAATAAATATCAAAACTAAAATGTAATCATATATAAACTAAATTTCAATATTAAAATAATATATTTACTTCTACTTATAAAGTTATGTTTTTTTAACTTTTAACATATTATACTTAATTTATTAGTTTTAATATTGTGTTGGATGCAATCCATTATCATTTTAAAGATAAAATTTTCGAACAATTTGTATAAAATACTTAAATTATTAATTTAAATACAACATTACATAGTTAACTTAAATATAAATTTTAGTTTAACTTAAACAACCAAAATTTTTTTTTGTAAATAGTTAAAAGTGATAAATTATAGTGTCGTTCTAATAATGATTATAAGTTGGTTAATAAGGATAAATAAATATCAAACCTAAAGTGTAATCCTAAATAAACTAAATTTCAGTTTTAAGATAATATCTTTAGTTTTACTTATAAAGTTATGTCTTTAACTTTTAACATATTATACTTAATTTATTAGATTTAAAATGTTGTTGTATGTAAACAATTATCAGTTTAAAGCTATAATTTTTGAACAGTTTGGAAAAAATACTTAAATTGTTGATTTAAATATAATATTACAGTGAAATTTAAATATAAATTTCAGTTTCACTTAAAAAACCAAAGAATATTTTGTAAATAGTTAAAAGTGAAATTGTAGTGATAAATGCAAAAACTAAATTGTTATCTCAATTTAACTAAAATATTTCCTAATGACATTTTTATAATCATTAAAAGTTTTCAAATAAGTAGCTTAAAATAACTTATAATAACAATATTTAAAAATAACTCTATATAGATGATTATATTGTTACATTTAAAATAAAATAAAAAAAAACAATGTTTGATGTTTTAAATAATTCTAATGATAGAAATTAAAAAATTAAGCAAATAAATTTAAAAAAATTAATTAACAATAACAAAAACTATAAATAACATTAAACCATATATTATATTTAGTTTTATTTGAAATTATGCAATTATAGTGTATATATATATATATATATATATATATATATATATATATATATATATATATATATATATATATATATATATAAAATTCAAAATAATCAACATATTATATTAATTTAACATACAAATTATTATATCAAATTTAACAACGTTATTGTTATATTAAAAAAACAAATATCTGTAAAGACTTCAACTATATATATATATATATATATATATATATATATATATATATATATATATATATATATATATATATATATATGTTTCTACGCAACGCGCGGGCATTTGTCTAGTGTATACATAAACATATACATGTGACTGTGGGGGTAAGGTGGTGCACCGCTGAGGAAAAGCGCATCGATTTAGGGTATGAACAACTGCTATCTAACGATTGATTTGAGGCATGGGAGAAAATGACGTGATTTGGCAGTGGGGGTGGGGGGAAAGTTTGTGTCATTTTTTTTTGAGATGAGAGAAATTTATTTTCATCAAGTGTAAACTATTTTTTTTTTGTTTAACATTTTTTTAAAGAAATTAATATTCCTTATAGTTTAGTTAAAATTGTGTATTTAGTCCTTAATTGTTTTTTCATTTAGACCGAATGGATGAAAGAGGAAAATAATGATGATGTATGAGGTGCTTTCAATTTATAATACAATAATAGATATTGAATTTGATTATGTAGCAAAATAGTTACGAAATTTTTGTTCATCGTAAAATTCTATAGCATAAAAGCTACAAAATTTTTATTACGTAATAGAATAGTTACAAAATTTAGTTTCATGGGAAAATTTTATAGCATAATAGTTTTGGATTTCAAATATGTAGCACAATAGCTATGAGAATTAATTTCGTAGAAAACTTCTGTAGCATAATAGCTATAGGTTTCAGTTTTCATAACAAAAGAAGCTACAAAATTTATTTTCGTAACCAAAATTCGTAGCAAAATAGCTATGAAATATCATTTTGTAGCAAAATAGCTACAAAATATAATTTCATAGTAATTTTCGTAGTTTTTATGTTGTAGTAAATTCTGTAGCAAACTATGGATGACTATTCCATAACTATTTTCCATAACTAGTCTTAAGTTTTGCTTTGGAATTTTATTTTGAAGAAAATACTACTATAACAAAAAAGCTACAAAAAGTTGTTCCTAGGAAAATAGCTATGAAATTTGAATTAGTAGTTATTCATGAGTTTTCTTGTAGCGATGTAATATAAGCTTTTAATAAGCTTTTAAATTTATGTTTAGTCGTCATCAAATTATATATAGATGCGTTTGAAAAAACTAATTGTTATGTGCAATAGTATGTATACCTTGAACTTGTTGAGAACTTTTAAAAATATAAAATTATATAATAATCGATAGTTAAAAGCTTTGAAAAAAAATAAAAACTCTCAAAAACTTTTAGATTACAACACTTTTGTTTAAAATATAAGTTGTAAGTTGTGTTACCGAATGAAAAAGTTTTTTTAAAGCCAGATTTTCTTTAAAATCTTTTAAAAAGTTTTAAGGTGGAAATACATTTTTAAAAGCTACCACTGTAAAATTACAAAACATGAAAAATCGTGCATGGAAAATCAACGTATATTTATATAATTTGCGTTTAATTGCAAAGTTACAAAACGGATCATATATAACAATATTATATTCTCGAGATCTATAAATATAGTTGTTAAAATAATTGTTTTATCATACAAAAAAATTTAACGAGCATTTTGCTGCCCATTTATTTTCTCACTCGTTCATTGTAATGTGATAATAGTAGTATCGTATCGTGTATTCGAAATAAATAAATAAATAAATAACTCGTTAATAAGACGTATTGTTAATCTGAACAAATATATATATATATATAAAATCCTCCAAATTATACATACTCGATAGTGGATTCTAACAACCACAAAAATCTCCTGTTCATACATACTCGACAGTGGATTCCACTTCCAAAATAACAACCGCTCAAATAATAACAAAAGAATAACAAAAGATCTCACTTGTATAGTAAAGACAAGAAGTTTAATGGCATTTGAAATAATTAATACCAAACGGACGTCCTGAATAAGTGAATATTACATTCCTATCGATGGCGTTTGCTTCAAATTATTAAATTCGTCACAAGAAAAACGTGTCAGTTTACCTTGTCCATGAAACACGACCAATTATCTTGTACCAAAATGGGCATATTGATTTGAAACATCCTTTCAAAAATTAGAACTACGTCATGATCATAAAAGCCAACGTTCGTTTATCTATTTTTAAGCCACAAATATTCAGCTTCGTTCGTATTACCAAGACTTCACTTCTTTGTTCTGTTGTCATCATAACCAAGAAGATCCTCGAGCAACTTATTATCCAAATACTCGAATTCAAGCACTTCCCTACCTTCCCTACTGCTCGAAGACGACTCCCCTGCCACGGATGCGGTGGTGGTGGTCGAAGTATTATAAGCAGCAGCCGAAAATGTAGGTGGATACTCTGCCGGAAAATTAAGAACCGCCATATGCCCTCTCATTTCAAAGGCGGCCCGATCATAAGCTCTAGCTGCCTCCTCCGCAGTTGCAAATGTACCTAACCAAACCCGTGTACCTTGCCGGTTAGGGTCACGTATCTCCGCAGCAAATTTCCCCCATGGGCGCCTCCTAACTCCTCTGTACTTTACCTCCACTGCCCCGCCTCCACCGTCCTTGGGGTGGTCCTTGGAACCGCCGTCATGATCCATAAACCAATTATCTGTTTTTGTATCGCTGTTTAAGGCAGAGGTTATTAAACGTGAATAAATTAAACGAATATATAGGTAAAAAGTGGTCAAGAAATCAAAAGGTGATAGAGGCGGAAATACGAGAAGGATTAGAAAGTTCTGAAAGTTGGTTTGAATCAGAAACGTGGGTTGAAACGTGGGTCAATCCAAATTCTAATTTGACTTCTTGAATCTTGATGGCATTTTGAATTTGTGGACTACATGTTTACATGCATGCAAATATATATATATATATATATATATATATATATATATATATATATATATATATATATATATATATGGTTAGATTCATGTGAGACAAATGAATTTTGTGAGACAAAAGGACCAAATCTTGATCACTCATCTCAAATAATTAGTAGCTAGGAATAAAACATAAAAACACTATAAAAAGGCTGATATAGGCGGTGGCAATTTTGAAAATACGTCAAAGGTTGTCATTAACTATGGACCAGGAGGGATACCTCTGTCATTTTGCACTCAAATCATATGAGAGCTGATTCTTTTCTTCCCAGTCGTGATTTGCTTCTTCTTTCTCCCCTAAACTTTTCTTTATCTGGATTTTTCTCAAGCGTAATTCCATAGAATATGAAATCGACCCAAATCTTCTCAATCTTGTTCCACAAAACCCTAGAAATCTGCCCCATCAACGAGAACTCGCAACAAAAAACCTATGTTTTGGTTCTGTATCAATTCAACGAAAATCCATAGTCACATCCTTCAATACATCGATTTATTCAGATCAAACATCGATCGTGGTTGTTTCAAACACAAAAACCTCTTCAAATGGGAAATTACCTCTATTACAGGTTTTATGATTTTAGATTTTGATAAATTAGATCTTATCTTCTCTGAATATATTAATAGTATATGAAATGACTCTTCGATTAATAGTTTGTTTAACTTTTTGTGTTAATTTGTTGATTAATCACATAATCTAACATTGCATTAGCAAACTAGGGTTTGATAGATTAGTATTATGTTTTGATGAAATTGTGGTTTTTAGTTTAAGATACTCTGTAATGGAGTATATTGGTTTTATGCTTCCGACTATAATACGTTTTGAGAATCTGAGGATTTGTTATTCTATTTTGACATAATGGAATTCATCTCTCTGTATTTCTAGTCCAACAATATCACATTTAGATTCATATTCTAGATAATATAGATTATAAATTGTCTCTTGCAATAGCTTTCAGGAAGTTTTTATTTTGTTTACTCTAAATTGTGAATTATTTTTCTTAAAATATTTATTGTAGCTAGAGTTTGTATTTGATCCAGATTCACTATAACTTGAGTTGGGAATAAACTTGTTTATTGTAGTTTCGGTTAAATATTTTTTGAAATTGTTTACTGTAGTAATGATTAGTTTTTAATACCCATTTAAAGATGAAATTGTTTGTTCAGGTTGGTAGTGGTTGTTAACCTAAGGTCTGATTAGGTTTATTCTTTTGTATTTATATAATATTAAATCTTTTGTCTTAATTATATTAGATATTACTAATCGAAGTTAAGTAAATGTGTGCCTGATAACCTGATATTATACATATTCTTAGTTTATAAGTTAGATCTTATTTTTTTTATATAGATGTTATTTTGTTAGAAACTACTTTCTTTAAACCTTTTATAATGAGTTAATGTGAAATATTTTGAAATTATGAGTCATATTACCATTTTAGACATTATGATTTTGTTGGAAACAACTTGCTTTGAATTTTTTGTTGAATAATGTGTAATATCTTATTTTACACATTCTTCTTTTGTTGGAAACAACTCTGCTTTGAACCTTTTTGTAAAGTATTGTGATAGTACTTGATTAACAATGAAGGAATGTGATATATTTTGGAATTATGTGTCATATTCTGATGTAAAATATGTAATATTCTAAGTATTATGATTAGTAAAATTTGAGTTCTAATGATATTTTGTTGATTAATTAAAATAAATAAATAAATAAATTAGATAATGCGTTACACACACTACAAGAAAAATACTCTTTTACGATGCGCAAACCATGACACTCATTGATTGATGTTACGCAATAGAGATTGACATTAAAAAAGTGTCATCTCTTCAAAAAATTTAAGGATTTATGTCACGCATTATTGCGTGCCCTTAAATTAGTGTCTAAAAAGGAACACGAAAGGCACCTATAATAAAATGCGTGTCGTCTAAGGATGTCGCTTTATAAATTTTAATGGAACGCGCGTTTCATCGTTTAATAACCAGGGGGGAAAATGAAATCCTTAAAAATTAAAAACCCTGCCTTCATTTTTTTCTCATTTCCGTCTTGCCCTGATTATCTACGCTCCTTCCTTCCCCCTCCCGACATTGACTGCCGCTACTTCTTCTTCCCTCGCACTTCTTTGGGACTTACGGATTTTCGGCTCTTCACGCAGACAAAGACGACGATAGAATTAAGGGAAGGAAGATTGGAGAGATTCCAGTAGATACACATTCACATCCCTATTATGCGATTTTATTAGCAAAAAATCAAGTCCACAATCGAATTAGGCCGTCCAAGGTTTTCTAACCCTATATTTTTGTGAAATTTCAAGCACATCTCTCTAAACAGGTATGAGGATGGAAAAAGACAGGTTGATCTAACCACTTGAACATTCAGGTTACGTTTTGACTCTCTCTCTCTCTCTCTCTCTCTCTCTCTCTCTCTCTCTCTTCCCTGATATTAGGGTTTCTTTTCATTTATAGGGCATGTAATTTGAAGAATGGCATCCCTAAAATCAATTTTATAATCACTTAGTGGCTGACTTGTATGAACTCTACCAAATTTTGAGGTTTTATTAGCATCTCTTTCATCGATACATCTTTTTACCAGTTCATCTTTTCATAAATTTCGTTATGGTGTAGGATTGGTAAACAAATGTATTTAGAGTTTATACATTCTGTGGTTTTATCAAATTTATATGTTTCTCCTCATAAGAGTTCATCTGGGCTGCCTCTATGCTTTTGATTGGCTCAAGTGTAGAGCTTGGTGTACCAGTTACTGTTCATCAGGTTTAATAATCACTAAACTTGTCAATTTTTCTTGATTATAACTTGTACAATTTCTCTATATATTCATGATTCAAAAACTCATATGAATTGATGGCTGCATTTATGACTTACCAGGATGGAGGTTGGCTTTATATTCAACTTCTCATGATACCCAATTTTTATACAGAAGGGTAAAATGGTCGTTAATTGACTCTGAAATAAGCATCTTCTTCAGCTATACCCGTTTAAATCTGCTTCAAGCTTCAAAAACAAGTTATTGTTACTTTGTGATTCCCAAATAAGAGATACAATTGACTTGGAAGTTGATTTTTGCATTCTAATCTTTAAAACTGATATTGATTGAAAAAGAGATTGTAAGTAATGTATTGATTATTGCTTTATTTATTTTGCCTCTGTTGTGAAGATCAAATGATGTGGAGAAATGGCACGAAAGCTGCGGTTCTTCAAAGATCAAATGTCAAAGGCGGGTACCACATGGTCATTAAATATCTTTTTCAATCAATATCAGTCTTCATCTTCTTTATATTCTGCCATATCAAGTGATGGAAAATTTAGTCCTATGTCATTGTCTGGAGGTGAATATCGAGGGTATTTTGGTCTTTTAAATAAAAAGCGGATTGTGTGCCATCTGAACCTCGTGCTGGTGAATCCAGTCTGGTGAATTCAGTCGCATGTCATTGTCAGGAGGTAGATTCAGTCCCATGTCATTGTCAGGAGGTAAATTTAGTCCTATGTCATTGTCAGGAGGTGAATAACTTATATTTTATTTAAACTTTATCTGGTTTTAGGTAAAGAAAGGTGGAATGCCACCTGGACCTCGTGCTGGTTTCTCTATGTGTGTACATAAAAGCGGACTAGGTTATTTGGTGAAGTTTTTGACATGGAGGCTGAAGGTTAATTTTCTCTTTAATTATTTTGATTTTGTAAAATTATTTGGAATCTATTAAATTCCTCAGAGGAAGATATGATTGCCTTTAGAACATAAACTATTATTTTTCATCATTAAGAAGTGTGTAAAACATGTGTAATTAATATGATTTCTAATTTTATTATAATGACTTCAACTCGTGAACTTGATGATGGACCAATTATGTTAGTTTTAGCTCCAACTCGTGAACTTGATTCTATTTTTCAGAATAATGAACAGGTAATTTCTATTATTTTTTTAGTTAGGAATCTCTTATTATTCTTTAGTATTTGACATCCATAATCTTCTTGAATGTCCATTGAATTGCAGGACAACCAGAATTTTCTTACAACAGAGACAACAATTGTATGGCCTGTATCTGAAATAAGATATACCAATTACCATTTGTCTCCTTGTGGTGCTACAAAATTTTGATGTTCTCATATATAATAGATCGGATCTTATCTTAGCATTAGTTTTGTTATATTCTTGTTTGGTAAATTGTTAGAGCATTGAATTGAAATGTTTGCTCCAATTAATTGGCATTAGTTTCTGTAGCCAATTAATTGGATGTAGAAAACTCGGGCACTGACCTCAATCCAAGGCTACAGATTCTTCCATAAAAGTTAAACAAGAAATCAGGGAAAAACTCCAAGCCTAGTTCAGGCTTCATTGCACCTACGGGTGGTGTTGCAGGTACAAGTGTTGCTAGGCTGCCACTTTTTTCCTGAATGGTGCATGCAACAAAAATAGTTGAATTTTAAGAAAAAGCTCTTCACACAATGACACAAAAAATGGTTTTGACTCGTAAGGAAATGATATGCTTAATGTTATACTTGGGGGTTTTCTGAGGGTGTTTTTTTGTCATTTGTTTCCTTGTTTTTGAATTTTTTCAGCAAGACGTGGTTTTAGAAAGGTATTGGCTTGGGGTTTAGCTTGCCTTTAAAAAGAAAAGCAGGTATGTGCTTATTTTGTCTATCTGTTCTACACATAACATCTCTAAAGGAATATGGCAAGCTTGAATATTTTATCAGATTGCTTATGCTTATGGGATATTTCAATAGTATCATGATTAAGAAACTTTTAACTCTACATAGGTTTTTACGCAGCTCTCCAGTTGTTAGGGCCCATGTAGTTACATCAACCCAAGTAATCCATTTGTCTTTTTCTCAGATTTTTCTTCATTTGAGCTTATTTCATATCCATTTCAGGAAATTGCTAGACAATTATGTATAGAGCACGAACTGATGTTTTCCAAAATGGCACAACCCTCCCTGGTTCATCTATGAATAAAATTTTAATAGTAAGTTTTTTTTTTGTTATTTCAGGAAATTTCTAGATAATTATTTCATCAGACATCTCTAGAACTCAACTTCTTGTCTGATGTCACAGTTTATTGGTTGGAATCCAGATGTCTACTCAAATTTTAACAGTAAGTTTTTTTTGTAAGTTACTTTTACTAATAACAATAGATAATTACTTTGCTCTTCATGGGATTTTAAGTTATTATACATACAGGAAGGCTGGTGGTGAGTTCATAACCAAAACGTTATAAGTTCCCTGTTCCATCTCCAAAAGTTAAATTCAGGTACTTTTTTTTGCTGATTTCAAGAGAGTGATTAGGTATTATCATATAGTCAACAACTGTTAGAATTGTTGTTTTTCTGTTGTCTACCTTATGTGTAAAGGCTGGGATTAATGATTTTGGGGGGGGGGGGGGGGGGGAAGGAATTGGGAATGCCTTATGCCTAATACACACACATACACATCCATATATATATATATATATATATATATATATATATATATATATATATATATATATATATATATATATATATATATATATATATATATATATATATATATATATATATGCATAATTGTCAAAAATTTTCATTTTTTTACTTTTGTTTCTTGTTTAATAATATACACATACGTTTTCATTTTTGTTTCTTTGGTTTAAATTTTTTTTGTGTGTATATGTACTAAAAAAACATAATGTATGCACAAAAACGTAAATATCAGATTTGCCCTCAACAGAAAAACGAACTGATTACTTGTCTTTTACTGAATTACCCCTTCTAGAATATATATATATATATATATATATATATATATATATATATATATATATATATATATATATATTGAAATAAATAGGAATGTAAAGTTAATTATGTATATCTACAGACATATTTCATCAGCAACATGCGTGAGCGAAGTAATTTCTCAGATTTTACTTAAATTTTACAACATGAGCTTGTATGGTTGCTTAATTGGGCTCTTTTGATCTGTTGCTTCAGGTTGGCACATCTTGATCAACCCTCCATAACCTTCACAACTTCCAACTTTAATCCACTACTTAGCGGTGAAGGTGGTGGTGGTCCTATTCCTTTTGATCTTTCATTGCCTATTGCTAAACAGGTTTCACAATATATAGAAGGGTGTTGGATTCAAAAGTTTAAAGAAAGCACATACACATTTCCTGATCCTAGTAAGGTATTGTAAGATGCTATTGATGTCCAGCTTCAATGAATCTTATGAGTCAAGATATGGGGTTATTGTGATGGATCCTCAGAATGATGATGGTAGTATAGGATATTCGGTTCTTCCCAACAACACTTGTCAGCATGCTGCTCCAACCTTTGTCAATTTAATGAATGATGTAATTCTTAGGCTTGCTACACATAATGGGAATATGACCATACAAACACGTAATCATCCAATGCCAATGACAGAAAGTCAACACCTGCAACATCAAGTATACATATACTTCCAATTATTCTTCTATTTATACTCATATCTTATAAATTTTTCTAGGATAACATACAATCAGAATATTGACACCTTTATATGTAGTGTGTATTAAATAGCGATTTGTATGATCTTGTAGGACCTGGATGCATTCTCTTTAACTATTGTTGTGTATTTAAATAGTGATTTCATTCGTGCTTCATTTGTTGTTCCTATTGTGAAGGTATGCCACTCTCTAGTTGTCTTTTTCACATAATTGACCCAATTATTTTAACGCCCCTCAGTTAATCCAACAATAAACATTTTATGCAATACACAAGAATTTCTTGATCAAGGATTTATAACTTATTGGTCATTTTTGGGTAAACTAATTTGGGTTTCCTGTAAACAGTTAGTTAATGGGAATATTTTTCTTGTATTTTAACGTAATGCATGTCTTATGCAGGAGCATGAAGTAAAAGTGAAACATCAACAACTGATTAGTGGGGTAAGCAAACTTGTTTGTTTTCTTTACGCTTTTCTTTTGTTAACACAACAATGTATAACCAATAAGTGATTCACAGTTTGACCATTAACTGGTTATCATTACTAATACTCGGGTATCTATATTGTCATATTGGGTGTCAACACATATATAGGACATCATAAGCTTCTTAGTCCCTTCCTTATTTGCAATCATTCTCTTTTACATCTTTGGTAAGTCTCCAAACTCACATTTTACATGCATTTTCGAAGGTATATTGTAAGTATTTACATCAGTAGTATCTGTATGTAGAAACTTTTTTTTGTAGGCCTGGAACAGTTTGTTGGAAGTATTTTACATCTTTAATGAACTATGTTTAACATTGTTCTATCTTTGTAGGCTCAGAACAGTTTATTGGAAATGGTGTTATATTCCCTATAGTTCTTATTCTGCTGAAATATGGTTTTGCAACTGCATCTTCAACATATTGCCTAACCTTTTTCTCAAGGTTGGAATGCATAGTAACTTACCAATATAGATCTGCATTTTCATTAGTGAATTTGGGTTTTATGAAATTTTAAACATATTAGACCAGAATTTCTTCAAATTATCTCCAGGATTTTGCTTTGCTGATGGACTAGCTTCACTGTTGGATCCATTTGTTATTTGGCTGTTGAGGTGTATTTTTGATTTGAATTGAATCTATGAAAGTTGAATGTTTGATCAATGAAAATTGGGATAGATTGAAATCAACTTAGACATATTTTCTTTCTTTTTTACAGGGTTTCATTTTTTCCTTCTAACACTTGGGCTTGAATATTTCCCTCCCCCATGAATTCAATGTATTTGGCATAAAGATCTTCCACAGAAAGTTTGTTTCTAACAAAATTGAGAAGAGTTTGAAGCATTACTTTGATTTTTAGGATTACTTGGAAACTCATTGTTGTCTAACAGTTTAGACAACATTGATGTAACGAATTTGAAGCATGCCTACAGTGGTGGAGGGAAAACTAATAAATAAAGGTGAAGTTTTTTTCTAATAGGAATTTTTTTGTTTTAGGTGACAATGGATCATAGGCCTCCATTCCTCACACTTGGGATACCAGCTGCCTTTTAACGGGTTGCACCTTTAACTTCTTACACTAACAAAAATCCAATCAAGATATTGCTTGTTTAGTTGATTCCTTTTCTTAGGCATTCTTGACTCGTCTTGGATTAAAGCATTGTTATCTTATCAGCAAGTAATTACTTTCCAGCCACGCCCGGTGGGCAGCCGCCCATGACACCAAGTTCAACATTTTATGTAGTACACCAGGTGGCAAACTAATGGCATGAAGGATCAGGTTATATAGTTAGGATATAGTATCAGGTTATATAGTTAGGGAAAACCCCTTAATAACAATGTATGGCATTAAATTTTTGTTACAACTATTGATTTGTTTTATCTTTACATGGAACGATTATTTGTATGACATTAAATTTTATACAATGGATTGTATTTTTTTGTATATGATATTTAATTTTCTATTATGAGACATTAATACAAATTTAATTTAAAAATTAGTAAATCTATAAATAATATTTCTTTTAAACATTTAAAAATATGATACGCAAAACTGTGTATCATCTTCATTTATGACATGGCCTTTCTTGACAGGGGCTTTCTTGACACGTATTGCGTGTCATTAACACGCGCGTCATAAGGTTGCGACACGCGAATGCGTGTCGTCTTCATTTATGATAGGGGTTTCCTTGATACGCATTGCGTATCGTAAACGTGCATCGTAATTGCGCATCATAAATGAGTGTTGTAAATGTGCGTCGTCTCTCTTTATGACATGGCCTTCCTTGACGCGCATTTGCGCGTCGTCTGAGCCTTTTACGACGCGCAATGAGCGTTGTAAAAGTCTGTTTTTCTAGTAGTGACATTCATTTAAATAAGGTTTAATACATAAATATTCTAGGCATTCTGATTTAACACAATTTCTTATTCCTTCTCATTTGGATTTTCAATATTGTGATTCTGATTATGAAACTAGATCAAGTTATGGATCGTCAAATATTCCTAAATAAAAGAAACTGAAGCTTTTTATTCCAACAAATGGTTTATTCTACACAATCGGATTTAGAGTTTGCATCCAGGGTTATTCCATGTAACGTATAATACTATAATTTCTTGATTGTTATGTATTTTTGTGTGACTTTGAGTCAATGTATTATAATCATGGATTTATCTTTGTATGTGACTTTGATTTAATATATTCATCTCTGAGATATTCTATAAATCTATGTGTTTTGATAATAGTATAGTTTTAGTCAAAAATCACTTTGTATCTTCGAAGATGTACTATAATCAAGATATTTCACTGTATAGTTATCTCAGAAAATTATGACGTAATGTAATATAGTATTGTATAACATATAATTTAGAACTACCTCTTTTAACATAAAGGTCTGATTAGGTGACTAGGTTATCTGATCTTTTGGTTTTTATATAATATTAAATCTCTTGTTTGAATTATACTACATATTACTAATCGAAATTAAATGAACATAAACTTTATTTGGAGTCAGTACCATGTGGACAGTTATGTTTTTTTGCTATCTTATCTCAGATTCTGTTTTGTGTATTCTAAATAATGCCTTGATTATATTAGATTTGTGTAAAATTTAATGTGAAAATAAAATAAAATTCTTTAATTGTAAATTATTTATTAAACAATTTTAATATTGTTAATTATTTGCAGAATGTTAGAATATTCTAGTATAATAAATTGATTGTTTATATCATAGCTTTATTGTTTTAATAATAGTATGGTTTATGTTTCGATACAGTTGAAATGAAGAAACTACTAAATCAAGGGAAAATGAGCTTTTGATCCTAAAGGAAAGAATGTTGAACAATTTCTATCATCGGAAATAGATAAAGAAAAAAAAAGTCATACTTCATAATACTTCATCTAATAGCTCGTCGTCTGATCAAAACGCGTTAACAGAATATGAACAAGTACATATGACATATAGTTGTAATTTTAGAATATATGATGTATAATGTTGATATTCAATTATGTATTTACAAGAATAATACTTGTAATGTTTTAGTTTATGTCATGTAATGTCAAGTAACATCTTTCTCATATTACATGAGTTTATATATGTATAACATTCTATTAAAATTAGGCTTTTATATACTATTATAGAATAATGTTCTAGGATATTCTAAGTTATATGTACAATATCCTAATAAAATAATGTTCTACGTTTTCTATTAAATAAGTTGATTTACTACATATAAATATTGTGTACATATAGAATATTTTAATATAATAATATTGTATATGACATCTTTTCAAAAGTTATAGGTAGAATATTATGATAGAATAATGTTCTCGGATATTTTAAGTTATATATAGAATATTCTAATAGAATATTCCTTGATTAAAATTAGTTTTTTTTATACTTTTATAGAATTTCTAGAATATTCAAAGTTATATATAGAATATTCTAGTAGAATAATGTTCTATGTTTTCAACTGAATAAGTTGATTTACTACATGAAAAATAATGTGTATATATAGAATTCTAATATAATAATATTGTATATGACCTCTTTCCAAAAGTTATATGTAGAATATTACGATAGAATAATGTTCTTGGATATTTTAAGTTATATGTAGAATATTTTAATTGAATATTTCTTAATTAAAATTAGGTTCGTTTGTACTTCTCTAAAATTTCTAGAATATTCTAAGTTATATGTAGCGCATAGCATATTCTAATATAATAATGTTCTACATTTTTTAATTGAATAAGTTTATTTACTACATATAAATAATGTGTGTATATATAAAATATTCTAATATAATAATATTGTATATGATCTCTATTCAAAAGTTATATGTAGAATATTATAATAGAATAAGGTTCTTGGATATTTTAAGTTATATGTAGAGTATTCTAATAGAATATTTATTAGTTAAAATTAGGCTTTTTATACTCTTATAAGTTATATGTAGAATATTTCTTAATTAACTTACATTATGTAAGATTCTAATATTATATGTAATATTATGTAATAGTCTAAATCTACAATTTATAACGTTATAAGAATATATAGAATAGTCTAGAAAAAAAATGATTTATAGAAAAGAAAAGTTTATAATATTAATGTGTAATAATCTGAAAGATTGTAATATGATGTAATATTCTATTACAAGATGAAATATTCTAATTCAGACCATCATTCCCTTCAAGTGTGTAGGATACAAAATAATATGAGGAACCTAGACTAATAAACTTTTTAAACGAGTGAGAAACATATAAGCTTATAAAATTAAGTGAATACTTTTAGGATAAAAATCAAACTTTTCTCTGGAAGTTAAAACCTATTCTAAAACCTCATAGACTAAACCAAATTTCAAGTTTGTATTATAAAAAATATATCACAAGGAGTACTTAATAATATGTTGTTATTTGATACGCAATATTATGAAACTGTACGAAATATTCTAATATTAAAGTGTAATATTTTAAATTGTGTTATAACATATAAAATGAACTTATATTACATAATATTCTAATGTTATATTTAATATTCTAAATATAAATACCGTTCTAACAGAATAATTTAATTAGGTTGTCTACATTCGAGTTACAACTTAATATTCTTATAGAATAATATTATAGGATGTTTGTATATGTATAACATTCTAAATAGAATGTAACACTAAATGATTACATGAACATCAAATATCGAACTAGAATATAACAATATATATATGTAAGAAAATTAAAATAATGCACAACTTATTTGTAAATACCTCAATTACATCACTTGAAACCAAACAAACAAAATATAAGCAAATTTATAACATCCCACTACATTGAATGAGACACTTCAGAAAACTATTATCGAGCCACATTCTCTACAGTTCCATTCAAGACTTACCTAAAAAGTTGTAATGATAAAAAACATGAAAGTTTTAACTAATTTCATAACTGTATGTACCACTTTACACTTTGAAAGGGATTTGATGGGTATTAGGATATATAACTATTGCAATAATAATGTTTAAAGTTGCACAAATGTAGGGAACAATTTCATCAAGAAAGAAATAAAGAGAGTGCAGAGAGTAAATTAAAACAAACATCCTCTTTACAGATTTCGATTCTAAAGATGAACCAAGTCCTCATCATCCGTCAACTTCTTAGCCACTTTAACTCTTTATGGACCAAGCACCATTGAAACCAACATGCCAATATGCTTCTTAGAGTTCTCATCATTAATTAATGGTGGCAAGATATGGATGATATGCTTCTTCCAACATATGCACTGAACATTTGCATCGATGACAGTTGTATGTCCTTCAGTCACTGACAAAAAGAAGAAGTACACCAGTCATCACTAAGTTAAGAATAATCAGCTTGGAATTTGGGGTTAATATCATTAAATAGTAACAAAGTTTAAGGGTGGGAAGGAAGGAGTGATATATCATACTCTACACCAGACTCTTTATTCATTCAGGACTTTCATCAAACAGGTAGAGTGCATGTAAAATGTAAGAGAATTGGCTCAAGAACAATAATAGTTATGTACATACCTCATTGATTTTATACAATGAACACAAAATAACACAAAGATACATTGTTTTTGCTTGCTTATCTTCATTTAAAATGTGCTCAAATGCACAGAAAAAAACCAAAAGCTTGATATTGATAATCGATGGCTGGAATCAAATACTTGAATTGATAATAGATTTAAGATGAATTTAAATTGATAAAACACCTTATTTGAGAGTAAAATTGAAGCATGAATATGATGGATATCGATATCAGTTGATGAATGGCTAAAAGTCGTTGATCAAAAACTCAGGGGAAGCAAAATCAAACCTTGATCAATTGATGAAATCATGATGTAGAGTAAAAAGCACAACTTGAAAGATCGTTAGCAATTATTGAAGATGAAGATTAGTAGAAATCGACTGAACACTTGAACTTCTACCTTGGATGAAATCGATTATCACAGAGCTAAAATCAATAACAATCTTGTAATGAATTGTTGATGTTGATAGATGAACATAAACCTCAATCACTCAAATCGAAGCAAATATAAGATTGA